CTAAGCCAGTCACCTAAGTGAATCACCTTTAAGTAAATCACCTCTTATTATCTGGACTGTCCATTTATTGTTATTCCCACCTTCTACAGGTCACCATCAATCACACCCTGTCAATGTTACCGAGCTAGAACTCCCGATAGAAAGCGCTTATGCATGGAAGCTTTGGAGAATGCAAGTAAACCTCACCAAATTGCATAACGGGAGTTAGCTAACTCAAGCACCTATATGCTAATCTGTTCCGAGCACCAACTTTCTCCATCATGACTGAGGTAGCCTAACAAAGCGAGTTGGATCCAATAATCCTAGGCAACAGCTTCTGAAGTTTTTCCGCCTGAAACTACCTCCAAAACATAGCATAGCCTTATTCCATAAACCGGATCCTTCATCTCAACTCTGAATCCTGTACTCTAATGGAAATATATCTGCACCTGTGCGCCAGGGAAAAGAAATAGATGTAGCTGCAACTATATAGTAATACTAACAATATTACTGTCTGAGCGTCCACTTGCACCTCATAGGTATTTCAATGGCCAATAATCCATACGCTTCTTTCTTTCGAGCCTTCTTTCGAGTCTTCTTTCGAGCCTTCTTTCGAGTCTTCTTTCGAGTCTTCTTTCGAGCCTTCTTTCGAGCCTTCTTTCGAGCCTTCTTTTGAGCCGTCTTTCGAGCCTTCTTTCGAGCTTTCTTTCGGACCTCCTTGTTTCTGGTTCTCTTTGGCTTATAACTCTGGAAAGTCATGGGCCAATTTCACCTTTCAAAATACGTGTAGTGTACCATTGCATCTCCTATACCGTACCCAGCTCTTTGCTTGTGGTATCCATTGACCCTGGTGTCCGAGTTAACTCCGGTACAGGCCTCCACGTACATAATTAGGAATATTTTCGCGGTTCCAGCCGGAGCTTTGGGCCATGTCAGTACTAGCACTAAGTCTGAATCTATATTTAACTAATATTTTTCAGTGCTCACCATTCCTGTACCACTGTGCAAGTCCCATGAGTTTTCCTCGAGTTTTCCCTTAAGTTTTCCCCTGAGTTTTCCCCTGAGTTTTCCCCTGAGTTTTCCCCCAAGTCTTCCCACCATGTTTCTCGTAAGCCATTCACAAGTTTAGGCTGAGAAAATACCTGGCTCAGATTTGTATATCAACCATTTAAATATACTTATTTTTCCGCGATTTCAAACTACATGGAGGGTTAGAGCTGAAAGCTTCACTTGATCTATAGCCGCACACCATCAATGCCTGCAGTCTCGATCACCAGGCGCAGATGCATATATGCAGGCGTCTGGGCTCTTGCCTCGTGTTGAACGCAAAGGACGATATTCCGGCACTGAATATACCTTCGGCGAGGCTTCCATGCTTTAGCCCCCCATGAACTTTGGTTTCTAGAGAATTCAGTGCGTCATATATTACAATAATAATTGGCCTTATACACCCAGTAAATACCTCAGTAATTGAGATTATAACGTAGAAAGGCTTGGGTGTATATAGGTTAGGTGATGTAAACCCTGAATTGCTCGAGTTATAGTCCTTGGAAGTCACCAAGAGTGAAAACTGAATAGACGTTGCATAACTATGACCGACCTGTGTATAAATCCGCAGGGTGGCAAATTGGCCGAATCGAGAATTCCATCACCCGATCTAACATCTCCATTAGTTCCGTGAGACGCTCTACTTGACTTTTCAACCTGCAACGTCACTTGCGTTCTCGGTCTGCGTCCTGACCGCCCCGCAATAACCTGGCTCATAGATTCGTGGAGACCTGGAATACGCATGACGGTTCATCTCTGTTATATGACAGACCTTCAGCTCGTTCAATCTTTCCAATGGCCCCGTTGCCTCGAGCCTCTTTCATTTTCTGAATTGGGGTACTCCTGTTTTATTGAATAATGTGGAGTACTTCTGTTAAGCTATTCTCATGTTATGGCACATGTTCTTCTAATGACATGCGTAGCTCTAAGTTATAAATGGGTCTAGGGCATTGCCGATTGTATGAGGGCCGAGTGGTATCGTTGCTGGGCATTAATACTTGATACAGGACACCAATACTTGATACAGGACACC